TTTTATGAACTATCTTTCCATATTTTTAAAGCAAAGACTCTCTCTTTCCTTCCCTCCATCTTTTCTTCCTTCCTTCCCTCCTTCCTTCCTTCCTTCCTTTCTTTTTTTCCTTCATTCCTTCTTCCTTCCCTCCCACTGTGATTATGCTCAATCTCTCCTAATTGTTCTCCCACTTCAAAGTTTGATTATGCCCTATTCCCACATACATGAGTCCAGAATTTCTTTTTTATAGTTTTTATTGAACTATACATTATTTCTACTCCACTAAATTCCTTCCTCTCTCCATCTACCCTCTTCTGCAACCTCCGTGATCCCAATTTACTCAGGAGAACTTGACTTTTTCTCCTTCCTATGTAGATCCATGTATCTCTCTCTTAGGGTCCTCTTTGTTATCTAGATTCTAAGGGGTTTTGGACTGTAGGCTGTTTTTTTCTTTGCTTTTATGTCTAAAAGTCACTTATGCATCAGTACATATTATATTTTTTCTTTCTGGGTCTGGGTTGTGTCACTTGGTATGTTTTTTTTCTAGATCCACCAATTTGCTTGCAAATTTCAAGATGTCATTTTTTTTAAACAATGAGTTTTAATCCATGTGTAAATGTACCACAATTTCTTTATCTATTCTTTGGTTGAGGGGAGTCTAGGTGGCTTCCATATTCTGGATATTACAAATAATGTTGTTATGAATGAGTTAAGCACATGTCCTTCTGGTATGATGGAGCATTCTTTGAGTTTCTACCCAACAGCAATATTGCTAGGTTTTGAGGTAGATAGTTTCCTAGTTTTCTGAGAAATAGTCATTCTGACTTCCAAAGTGGCTATACAAGGTTGTACTCACCAGCAATAGAGGAATGTTCCCTTTACCCCACATTCTCTCCAGTGTAAACTGTCATCAATATTTTTGATCTTGGCCATTCTGGTAGGCATCAGATGGAATCTCAAAGTTGCTTTAATTTACATTTTTCTAATGGCTAAAGATTTTGAGCATTTTCTTAAATGTCTTTGAGATTTGTCTGTTAAGAATTCTCTGCCTAAATCTGTACCCCATTTTTTATTAGATAATTTGTTCTTTTCATGTTAAGTTTCTTGAGTTGTTTGTATATTTTAGAGATATGCCCTTTGACTGATGTGGTGTTGGTGAAGATATTTCCCAATTTGTAGGCAGCCATTTTTTCTTGTTGCCCATGTCCCTTGCTTTACAGAAACGACTCACTATCAGGAGGTCCCAATTACTAATGGTCGCTCTCAGTGTCTGTGTACTGGGGTTCTATTTAGGAAATAGTCTCCTGTGCCAATTCAACTGTACTTCTCACTTCCTCTTCTGTGAGTTTCAGTGTGGTTGGTTTTATGTTGAGGTCATTGATCCATTTGTACTTGAGTTTTATGTATGGTGACAGATATGGATCTATTTGAATTCTCCTACATGTTGATATTCAGCTATGTGAGAACCATTTATTGAATATGCTTTCTTCCATTTTATATTTTTAGCTTCTTTGTCCAAAAAACAGGTGTTCATGCAACTTGATACCTGGATTATAATATTTTGGTCCTTTCATCTGTTTTTATGACAATAGCAGGCTGTTTTCATTACTGTAGCTCTGTAGTAGAGTTACAAGAAGCCTTAGGTAATAGGCCAATCAGTTTATAATTAATGTAGACCTCTATGTGTTTCTTTGGGACTGAATAGCTGTGGGAATGGTCTGGACAGAAATCTTCATCAACATAAATATACTTACCAAAATTAAATGAAGACTAGATAAGTAAATTAAATAGACATATAAACACTAAGAAAAAATGAAACAGTAATTAAATTCTCTTAACCAAGAAAAAACCCAGAACCAGATGGTTTCAGCACAGAATTCTACAAGAATTCTCTCCTCACTGAACAGGTGAATTTGAAGTTGATTTTGACTTTGAGCTGGACAACTAGAGGTAGAGGAGAGGCCTTGTAGATTCCTTTCAAGACTTTATGGTAAAGAAGCTTGAGGCAAGCCTTGTACCTAGTGTGCTTCCACTTATGCTAATGATATGGATGTTAAATCAACTGTTAAGGGGACCAGAGTCTTACCAGTTGGCTAACATTCTCTCATAGAGAATCTATCTATAAATAAACATCCATTTGTTATATCAATTTATAGAAGCAACCAGGAGTCTCTTATTCCACTTCGTAGCTGCTAATAAACTTTTAACTAACAAAGCTAAGAATCTTTGTTTTCAGGATATAAGTTATTACAAGTGCATTTTACCTTTGAAGTTTAATTTACTTTTGGAGTATGTGTTATAAAAGGTTTAATTTTGAACTTTTGTTCATCTCTATGATGCTCTTTGTTATGTTAATGATATCTTCATAAAAATTATCTATATAATATTAAATTTCATTCATTATTATTTTATTTACTTTAATGAATTTGTTGACAAATGTTGCTTGTATCAACTTAGAATTTGCTGGGTTCCTGCAGGTGTCATGCAGAGAATTGAACTGCATGAAGGCAGAAGAATTAAAGCCTGGTGAAGATTGATTTCATTAACTTGGATCAGAATTTGGGGAGCCTAAAACAAGGTGGCTAGTTGTCAGCATATTTTAAATGCAGTCCAATTTGGGAAAAGGTTTCCAGGCAACAATCAGTCCAATTAGTCTAATTCCAGGTGCACAATAAAACTTATAGTGTTACTACATAAAGACTCTTTTTGCAAAGTACTTGTGATCATAAAAGTGGGTTCTATAGCTAAATGGACTTGTATCAAGTGTGGTCAGTATAGAGGTCAATAGGCTGTAAAGTACATTTCACATCAACCTTAAGGATGAGTAATGTTCTAACAAGGAAAAGTCTGGAATGAACATTCTGGGGGAATTTGGGCAAGGTTTGTGCGGACTTCCTCAACAGATAACAAAGAGGTCAGCACTTTGTTAAAAAAAAATCTATGTCAGCTTTCTTGATGGAGCACAGATATGTGACTTTTATTTTCTCCATTATAGAGACAACCCTGAGTGATTAACATTTCTATTTCTCTGAGTGCTTCTCTGAGTATAAATTCCTCTGTGCTCCCAAAAGATATTGAATATAGAGTAGAAAGCTACTTAGCTAGCATTGAATAAATCACATGTAACTCATTTTAATTTTATAGTGACAAAATATAAATTACTGTCAGATTTTGGTATGTAAAAGTTTATATTAATGATTAGACCAACAAAGTAGAATGAAATGTTTTCTATGTTAGTATTAACCATTTTAAAAAAATGGATACAATGATGTCATATTGACTTAAAATAATGACTAAATTTCCTAATTTATGAAAAAATACCAGGGTATTTTCTGAAATCATTGAGAGTCTATAATCACTGACCAAATATTATCAATAAGTACTGCTATAAAGTACTATCTAATGAATCAAACATATATCAATAGTTAGGAATGAAGATTTGATGTACTCTTTCGAGTACTCTTATATACTTTGTGATTAAAAAGAAAATGTGTCATGACTTATCTCATTTGATAATCTACATTATCATAACCTAAACATCATTCCCCCTAAATTGCTACCCATATGAGAATTTGAAATGATAACCTTATATGATGAGCTAAGGAGGGTGTCAAAATTTTCAAACTAAAAAGAAAAGCCTCTAATTTTAATTGTTAGAACAAGGTAAACAGAAGAATTCAATAGATATATTTGTGTGAATTTGGCATTTGTTTATATACTTTTAGAAAGGCAATATACAAATATATGGAAGACTGGTAACTTAGAAAAAATAATTTATTCTTTGTTATCTAGTAATTGATGAAATGATCTTTTATTTTACCTTGCTTACCAAATTCCCAAATAGTTTAATGAGATTCATAGAAATTCTCATAGTAACCATACCTCTATCATACTGTGGAATAGAGAATTTGAATTCAGTAAATTTACTAGGAATGATCCTGAAAGAAACATCTGTGTGAGAACAAACACAACTAAATGATACAAAAGGAATTTAGTTTTGATGGAGTCAAGATCAAAACTGTCCTTACTTAGGTTTGACATTTTTCTCCAAGGAATATTTCTGAAAGGTATGTCGCAGAATCAAAAACTTGTAGAAGTCTCAAGCCCTCAATTGGTAGGTGAGAACAAAATTAATTCATAATAAGTCAATATTCTTTAGCATTCATCATATTGGAGCATCTCACCCTTAGGCTATTTTTCATGTGTGGGCACTATAACATCACACTAAGCATACATGTACACAGACCACACTTCTCCTTTCTAATTTTTGAACAATGAGAAACTCAGAGAACAGAGTAACAAGAAAACCATTTGCCCTTTACACAAAAGCTATAATAATGCAAATAGCACACAAATTAAAAAGCAAAAAAATAAATAAACAGAGTAGTTATGAAATGATCTAGGTTCTTTCCTATACTGGGTGAGTTCTCTTAATGAAAGCTAAATGAATAGTGATGTCCTGAATAGATCCTGAAATTTAATAGTTTGGTGCTATCTTTCTAATCTAATAATTTAATTGAGAATATATAAGCAGGGGAAGGGATCAGCAATTTAAAAATATAAACAACAGGCTCTGAGCAATTATAAATGTCACATAAGACTAAATATGTCCTCTTCACTCATATATTTTTAAATGTCTAAGCACTGCATTGACTCATTGTTGGCAAATGTGCGAGAATTATGTTTCTATCTAGAAGCTTCATTAATTTAGGGAAATATTTTCAAAAAATACCTAAATGGATTTGGTAGTATGTGTTTGTCTGTGTGTCTGTGTTTGTATATGTGTGTGCAAATGTTTGTGTATATGTAACAATAATAATTTTAAAAAAGTTTGTGAAAATGAGAAAGAATAAGGGAGAATGGGTAGAGTTGGAGGTAGCAAAGGAGGTGAAGAAGTGATGTATTTACAATAATTACACAAGGGATTTTCAAGAAAGAAAATTAAATTAAAATATTTGACAGCATTTTCAGGTAAGCACTTTATTGTTTTGAACACTTTATTGTTTTGATCATCACTGTTACAGTTTTGAAGGATGAGTCTTAGAAGGCATTCGTTGCTTTAATCTGGGAAAGTGTTGACAATTATCCACATCTGGGAGCTTTGTGGTTGTTTTAGCATAACAGGGAACATATTTTCTTACAAAACTCTTGGATGGTGTCATGGCTATATTGCAAAGGGAGACGCTCTTATGCTCCTGCTGAGGTTCATGGCTCATGTCAGCTGACAGATAGTACTTTTCAAGATTGAGTATATGTTCAATTGCATTTTTTACATTATCAGAGAGCCCAGTCAAGGTGATATTAGGATTATATGACCCTTTTGGAGGTAAACGTATGTCTACTTGGTATTGATCCATGATTCTATGGATGGTTCTTCCACGGAATCCAATAACACTGCCACGAACCTGGTGGTTTAGTGGGATTTCCTTAGAAACCGTTTTTTCGATCTTATGCAATACTCTCATTATTGCATCTCGAGCAGCTAGAGTGTTCTCTTTATAGCCAGTAATAGTGATTTGGTCTTGTATTTCATGACTTCCTTTCTTTGGAAAACGGATAGTAACATCATGCTCTGTGCAAATCTGAGCAATAAGTAAACCCTTATGACCAGTGATCTTGGAGTGATATTTGGGATCTAGATTGAATATTAGCTTAAAATTTCTTAGTGTCCGATCTTCTATTTCCGTTTGTAAAGCCTTGACTCGTTTTTGTAACCTCATCTTGGCTTGTTCCACATTTGCTTCAAGGCCCATAATAGATATGATATCAGCATTTATTCCAGGTTGTAATATTTGGATATGAACTTCAAATTCTTTTATGAGCTTACGTAAGCCACTTCCTTTGTGCCCAATGATGTAAGGATGTAGGTGAAAGGGCACATGAACTTCAGCAGTAGCAGGAATTAGAGATGCAATAGCTTCAGTAGCTGCCTTGCAATTTTCCACTTGGCCTGATATAAATATGGTGTCACTTTTTTTTGCGGAATTAGGAACAAGATCTTTAGGGGTCCTTCTCCACTTTTCTTTGCATTTTTCCTGCATACCTAGGTCCATATTGATGACTGGCTTGTCTATGTCTGGAAATTTGATTTGAACTTTATAATCTCTTGCAATTTGTTGAATTCGTGAACATATTGGTCCCATGATAAAAGGTTGGAACTTTTGGGGAATAACATACCGCGTTGTAACTTGGGAGCCCAAAGGCTCAAAAATGTCCTGAATGTGTTTCTTTGCTGCCTCAACACAAGCTTTTGCCCCTCTTATTGTGACTTTTGTATTATGCTTTCCTGCATAAGAGAATGTAATAACCACGCCACCATACTCCTCTGTCATTTCCCTTAAAAGCTGGCCCCTCCGCATAACAAAATAATGGTGAAATTTGCGATTTATTAGTATGTTATCCTCCACCACATTTTCTAAGTCTTTAATTAAAACTTCTAGTCGTTTTTGTACTTCTTTAACACCCTCTTCAGTTCCTGTAATTGTTATGGAATCTTCATCCTTGTTCTTAAGATTAGGGAAAATGACACAAGTTCCAGTCTCTTCACACAGTTTGGAAATATTGCCTCCATTTTTATTCATAAGAAACTGATGATATTGTGGTTTGACATGGACAGTCCCAGAGTAATTCTTGGCTTGCTCTTCTTCTGCCAGTTTCAGAAGCTTTGTTTTGGTCTTTTCAACACTTTCAACAGACCCCATGATAATGAGTTTATGTAGGCCAGACTTGTTTTTTGGGAAATGCAGATGAACTTTCCCACATTCTTCTATGACTGAATTGATCAAACATTCTTTGGGATTAGTCAGATATTTGTATAGATTAGGAGGAATGAAAATTTCCTCCTCTGCAGTATCAGCTATCTCTTGCTGAATTGAAAGAATCCAGTTACGTGCAATTTCACAGTTTTCTGGATATCCAGTAATGACAAACTCTTCTGAGTTGCACTTTTCTGGTGGGAAACTAATCTTGGTGTTGGTGATTTTAGAGATTATTTTTATATTTGAACCTCCTTTTCCAATTATCCTTTTGTGAAGCCTTTTTGTGATTGGAATACTTACAGTATAGTTATTTCCTTTAATATCTGTCAACATGTTCTCCAAATACTGTGCACATTTTTCTGACTCATATTTTGGACCTATCAGCTGGACAACATCACTTTTCTCTGCAGGATGTGGAAAATTGAGGATAACATCAGGGAATTTCCTACAGATCTCACGAACCCTTTCACCTTTTTGTCCAATAAGTATGTGGTGAAATTGGTGTTTGATGATTATGTCCTGGCTGTACTCCTCTTCCAAATTATTAGCGAGTTCAAGGAGTTCTCTTTTGGCTTGTTGAACACCCAAAGATTCTCCCTCAATTCGGATCAAATGATTCATTTCATTTTCAGGAAACACTGAGATAGAGACTTGGTTTTTCTCTGTAATTCTGTTTAGGATCTCTCCATTATTCCCTGTAAGGTACTTATAAAACTTACTGCTACTGTTTATCTCAGTACATTCCATTCTACTAAGTAGGTCATTGACAATGATGTCAAATTTTTCTTGAGCATAATTTACATCATCTATTGGTCCTTTGAGCATAATTTTGTCTTCAGATGTAAAGTATATATGAACCTTTGGCACACTATTTGTTATCTCAGCTATGTTCTCACCTTTCTCACCTATAATAAAGCTGTGTAACCAAGAAGGAGCACAGATAGAAGAAACAAAATAATCATCATCATTGCAACCAACTTCATTAAATATCTCCCCTGAACTCTCAGGCTCACTATGTTGTGACATAGAATCCGATAGGCTCTCAGAAGGTGATGGCTCTGTTGAATCTCCAGTTGTTTCTAGGATCTCCTCCAGAAAATTTCTTTTGAGACCTATGGTATAATTGTCTTGAAAGTTCATCATCACATCCTCAGTTATAGTATTTGTCTTCTCAGTCATTTCATTTTCACAATTGATCTGATCCACATGTTGTTGTCTTTCATTAATATCTGTCTCCTCGACACTAGCCAGTGGAAAGGGGACATGTCCCTCTGATTCTTGGAAAATGTCACATGCTTCAGGGTATGGCTCAGCAGTCAGGGAATTAAATGTTTTCCCCATTTCTGATGGCGGAATATCATCCTTGCTACCGTTGGCAGATGTAGGTTGACTTCCATCTGAAGATTTCAACTCTGCCTGTTTTGAACTATTCACACAGTTGCTCTGATTGTGTGGACTTAAGATCTGAGAATTTATTTCACTTTCTCGTTCCAAATCTTGTGTGTTTTCTCCAGTCTGGTCTATAACAAAGTGATTTTCTTTTTTGGAAATGAGACTTAAAGTTAAACCCTGTTCTTGACACCATTCAAAAATTGCATTCTCAGCTTTTATGACAGATTCTGGGTTGCCAAACACTGTTATATAGAGACCTTGGTCTTTCACAAAAGATGTTTTTAAGTTGACACCAGTGTTTTCTGTGATATATGTATAGAATTTTGCTAATGTACCCTCACTAAACTGACTCAAATAATTTTCTTCCTCTAGTAGTAATTTAAAAACTTGAGTAAGTGATGAAACTTCCTCAACTTGAGGAATATTAGTGCTTGATGGTTCTGCAATTCCTTCAGAATTTTTCAGATAATTTGTTTTCTCCAGGTATACAGTGACATTGTCTTCATTTGTGGACATATCAACTACATCATCTGAACTGCTATCATGATTTCCTTTTTGAACACTATTTTGGTGTGGACTAGAATTTGTTTTGGAATTCATTGTTGGTCTTTGAGTAGATTCAATCCAGATGTATTTCAGATAAAATGTCAACAGCAAATCCACAAATACTTCCTGTAGCTGCCTTCTTGCATATTACTGTATGGGGAGAATGAACACTTTAAGGATGTCATTCTTTTTTAAATTAATTTATAGAATCAAAATAATAAAATTAAATTCATATGGCTACAAAAGTTTATTTGACAAAAAGTATAAAGTTTATCTATTAATCTATTCAATTATTATGTGAGCATAGGAAAAGGTAAGAGTATAAGGATTATGAGGAAACAGCCACCAATGTTTCCAAAGCAAGGCCTTCTTTATTTTTATTCACCATAAATAAACATCATTTTTCCAACTCAGCATTATTATTTTTTGCCATTACCCCAAATAACACTGTTGAGAACCTGTAATTCTTTGAGAAAAACAAATCAGTAGCATCTATAAGAGGATGCTGCATTTTCTAGAATTCCTACTTTTCTTTAAATTTTTTTTATTGAGCAATAGCCTAAAAACTCACACAGTTCATGTGCATGATTAAATATGTTTTGTTTTTGTTTTTTCAGTAAATTTAGAGCTTAGAGTTTTATATGACACAATTTTACTATGTTTCTATCACCCCACATAGATCCCAGGAGTTCACTTGCAGAGAATTCTCATTTCCGCCATTACACTCAGGCAACAAAAATTATATTTAAAAACATAGACTTGCCTGATATGGAAATTTTGTGGAAGTAGTATAGCCTGGAGACTGAATTGGACTTTAATTCCTTGTTGAGATTCATTCATGTTAAAACATAAGGCAATACAACCCTTCTGATTACTGAACTAGTCTACTTCCATTTAAATGTATTATAAAGACTATCCTGACTTATTTTTTTTCCTAGGGCCACTTGCTCTACAAGAATTTTATATGTAATAAGGTATTACTGCCTGTTGTGTCAAAGTCAAGACCCATATTTCTCTATATAATGTTCCTCTGTATAATTTAATTTAGACTCATAACTTTAAATATCACAAATACTGATGTTTTCCCAAGTGAACAATCATATTCCTGCACATGTTTATTCACAAAACTACTCAGTATCGGCAAAATCCATTGAAAATGCATTCAATAAGTCAATAATTATATCCACACATTTTATGATCTTGTGCTGTTCTGGTTATATAATTTTATTTGTTAAGAATTTTCAGGAGGCTGAAGAGATTGTTCAGTGCTTAAGCACATGTACTGCTCTTGCAGAAGACTTAGTTTTTATCCCTAGCACTAATTTTAGCAGCTCACAATTGTCTGTAACTCCAGCTCAGGGTATCTGAGTTCCTCTTTTAAAACCCTGGGGCAATGCACTCCCACGTATATATACTCCTGCACAGACATATACATATATACATAATCAAAATTAAATTAATATTTTTTAAAAAGAAAAAAATGAATCAAATGTCACAAAATGTCTTGATATAAGATATTTAAGACTATAAAATGAACATAACCTGAAATGAATATCAAGAAAATTGGAAAGAACCCCAAAGTTTTTCTTACAAATGTGAATTCTCAATAGAGAAAATGTATAATACTGAATATTTCTTTTTGTTCAATTGTGTACTGTCTAAAATTAATGTTTGCCACAAAAGATGTCATAAGTATTCTCTTGATTTCCCTGAGATAAAATTAAAGGATCATATTTTTTCTGCTATGTTTCGGTGGGGAAAGGGATTTTACATCCTAAGTGACACTGGGGTAACTAACTGGTATATTGTGTAGATTTGTCATTTATTAAAATTCTATGAATAATGATGGCTAATCTGTTGGTTTTGTTTAAGAATATTATAGATCATATGTATAAAACATTGTAATAATTTCTTACATATTTCCCTCAGAAATTATTTGCAAATATTTATACTTGTATTTACAAAAATAATTGAATTTTAAGTAATGAATATATGTTAACGTTGCTCTTTTAATTTCACAAAAACACCTTATTGGGAAGAAATTGCAAATAAAAGATGTCACACAGCTAGGTTAATGTAGTCACTCAAATAAGCTCCTGCCAATATCTAAAGTTTATACATATCAATCCACTTCTATACAGTTAGAAGAGCCATTCTGAAGTCACGGAGTTTTGCTTTTCGTTTTACACCTTCACTGAAAATTTCATTTTTATGCTTTGATCCCACCTTCAAAAATCTCCTAAAAAATCTATGACAAAGTTAAAAGTAAAAACAATTAGCTTTATCAACATTTCATCCTTCCTTATCACCTAATATCTTTTTTCTCCTTTCTATCTGTTATAGTATAGCCATACATATTTGGTCACCTATATGTATGCATACATTATAGGCTAATGTGGGAGAATATGCACTTATAGGATTTGAGATTAGGTGAGCTTGTTAATATTGCATTCTCTAAATCCAGTCATCTTCCTTCAAATGTTGTGAAAAGAATACTCCAAGTGCTTTATTTTCCTTACCAGAGATTATGTCTCCAGATAACGAGAATTTCTCTGCTTTTAAATAACTAATTGTGCTTGCATTTTGGATATCTAAATAGCTATCCAGTGTACACAGATACTCATTTAAATACTATGTCTGAAATCTTCCATTGACAATCATCAACTCTTTTTGAACATTCTTCATTGCTAAAAACAGCATTGAAAAAAATGATAAATGGATAAATTTCTTAAAGACTTCACATATTTTGGCCTACCTTTTCTTCTAGTCCAGTTTAAAGGTTTCTGCTTGATGATAAATTTCTGAGAGCACAGACTTAGCTCACAGGGCACCAAAATAGCTAGAGATGAAAACTTCATGGAACTGGTGACTGGCCTCAAATGTGAATGGTAAAGCTGAAAAAAAAAAAAAAACACGAATCTCCCAATTAGTTGAAATATACAATGACATAGTATTTAAAATGCATTGGTATCTTCATACCAATGTCATGAATATAAACAAATACTATAGTCAGCTTATTCTTGATATGGGAGTCTCTTCTGTGTGTTGCTTGTATTGGTTAATGAATAAAGAAACAGTCTTGGCCTGAAAGGGCAGAACTTAAGTAGGTAGAGAAAATAGAATTGAATTCTGGGAGGAAGAAAGTAAAGTGAGAGAGACACATGGATCCACCAGAAACAGATGCTGGGAATTTTACCTGGTAAGCCACTGCCATGTGGTGATATACAGATTAATAAATATGGGTTAAATTAAGATGTAAGAATTAGCTAATAAGAAACTAGAGCTAATGGGCCAAGCGGTGATTTAATTAATACAACGTCTGTGTAGTTATCTTGGGGTTAAACTAGCCAGGTGGCCAGGATGAACAAGCAGTCCTCCTATAACAATTGCAGCCCTCTCTCCTTGCAACAATTGGTGCCAATGTGATGGACTAAATCCACTTAAAACCTGAGATAGCTTAATTTTAAACAGAAAAATACAGAGTTTAACACATCTTTTTGCTGTTTGCTGGTGGCATGTCACAGCTTCTTTAAGAGAGGTTTTCCTGACTCGGAAATAGCAAAAGAAAAAAAGCCACACAGTTTTAAAATGCCAGCTTTCTGGGCTATGCTGCTAGTGCAACCTCTAGCTCTTGCAGGAAGACAGAGCATTTGGATGGTGCTTGTGAGTAAAGTGTGATGGCTTACGCGATGGCAATGTGGACTCAGTGTGTGCCTGGAAGTGGGGCAGTGTATGCAGCTCAGAGGCACAAGCAGCTCAGAGGCACAAGTGTTCCATCATGCTGGACTGTGCAGAAATAGCAGGAACTACTGTATTTATCATAGTAATAGTGCAGATTAAATTTTAGACTGGGCAAGCAAACAGTACTATATAACCTCTACTAATAGTGCAACTTAAGTTTTTAAGAAGCACTTAGCATTTTAAGAAATTCTCCTGGACAGTAAAGAATTACAGAATCACAATAGGACAGATTCAGACATAAAAGAATTCTAAATGGGTCACAGTGTTGGATAAATGTATGTAGGTTTTGAAAGAGAAAATAAAAGAGTATAGAGAGTCATAAAATAAAGTTAATGCTTTAAAAAAGGTAAAGTCTTTAAAGAGACAGAGTGCAGATAATCATAGATTAAAAGGAGCAAAGAAATATAAGACACATAAAAATGGAAAATTCACAGAATGTCTAGATTATGTATATTATTGTGTTTTCTTTGAATTTTTTGATTGTGAAGGAGTTAAGTACAGAGAGGCATTTCATTGTATGATCTGCTAAATTAATCCAGCGTGTATAGTATAAAGGTATAGTGTCTTCCAAATTTAGTTATAAGAATATGTTGCTTTGGAAAAGAGATTCTTCTTTTGTTTTCACAGAAGATGAAAACCTGTGGATTGGTTCAAGACCAATATTGTTTCATGGATCAAGACCTCCTGAAAGATCGCTGGAAACATCCTCAAAAAATTACTTTGCTTAAATGTTGACTGAGATGAATCTAGCACAAAGGATACACCATGAAATAATAGTGCTCCCAATCAGGAGAAAGTAGTATGGACAAAACTATGCCCATATTACCAAGTATTGTTTATAATTGTTTGTTTACATTTAAAGGGGGATATAATATGGATATGAATAACTTGCATTGGTATTAATCTTGGTTTATTAATATAAATTTAAGGTCAATTTTGTTATATATATATATATATACATTTCTGATCTTGATTAAGGTATTGTGATTGTGTGGTTCATTACAAAATGTAATGTATAATTAAGACATATAGGTTAATAGATAATCATCTATAATATTCAAGATTGTAGACATGTTAGTTAGATTTTCTACATATATAGAGATGTATTTCAGTTAGTTAGGTATTCTTCAAATCTTTCAGAATATGGCATTTAAATGATTTAAAAATTTGGAACTTTTCATGACAATAAGATGCATCTGTTCCATGTTACTTCAAGAGGAACATGGGCAATAAAGAGGCTTCTCATGGAGTTGGCTAGCCATTTTGGTAAGAGACTGCTCTTGCCTGGAGGTGCAGGACCCTCAGAGAAATGG